ACAAGCCTTTGTGATCCATGTAAATAATGGCACATTATTATTTCCATATTTTCTTGAGTTTGGGAAATTTTCCGCAATCACAAACAATAACAAGTGCAATTCTGTTCGGCAGTTTAACCCTATATAACATAAAAATTATGAAAAATATGTATGATAATTTGAAAAGGTCTAAATACATCTAGGATATATCAGTCCGCATGCCAGAGATACCAGAGCACCAAGTGTCCTCAACAACCTCATAGCTAGCCCCGCATATCTTCTTTTACCAGGAAAGTTGTAAAGAAATTGTAGAAGCCACCAATTATCGAGGTCAGTAATGCACATAACAAACTCTCCACACATTCTTTACACAAAACTTCACCTACCGGTGTAACCTGTTGTAGCTAGTTTAAATACATCATTTGGCTCGGTTGACATGATTCTAGATGTATGAGCCCCACGTGCAAACACACACTTGGCAAAAAAGGCCACACCAGCCAACTAAAAATCTCAATATCTTGCAGACCTATGGTCGAGCTAAAAAAATCTCAAATCGGTTCTAGGTACATGTGTGTTTTACTGGTTTTTTTTGGCATCTTTTGAAATTGTGAATTTTGAAGCCAAATTTGAATGGGCCAACTAGAATTGCCAACATGTCCCAAACGTGTGGTCCAAATGAGTTGATTTTTATAGATAAAAACTAGGTACATTTATAATTTACTAGATTTTTGCATTTTAAGTGATGAATTTTGAAACAAAATTTGAACGAGTTAACTAAAACTATCAATATCTTCTAAATCTGTGGCCCAAAAGAGCCGAAATTTCCCCAGATCAGGACTAGGTACATTTACAATTTACTAGATTTTTGCGTTTTTTCTGGAAATGTTGAATTTGAACCAACGAATTTCACATCCACCTCACCAAATTTTGTCGTCGTGGTCATTTTTTTTCACGTGTACATTGACATGCGGTGCCAACCCATAAGGAATCATGTCAACCATTAAGTGATGGATTCGAGCTAGCTGTCACAGATTACATCAATTAATGGTCTTTTGTTCAACAAACTTGTTCTGTGCAAACCGACCCCAGTAGTTAGTGGTTTTTGCAATTCCATCGGGGAGTTGGCGATGATGATAAGTTATTTCCCCTCCCATGGTTTTCTTTGCACTAGATCATCTCTCTCGGTACGCATGCCCCCTCCCCTCCAGTTTTCTTAACGCTAAATCGTCTTCCTGGAAAAATCTCCCCATTCTTGATTTTTTGCCTAAGAAATGAACAATGACAGCAGGTCACAATCTCCTTGTTATGGTAAACATTTTTTTTTCAGATTTCCTATTGCAAGGAATGAAAAAGTATTCTTATAACTTTCCTTTCAATTCAATGTGCCTTGTCTTATGTACTAGATGACACCTCACACAACTGGTTGCAATTACAAATATATCTCAATGAATTTTGGATGTATAAAACAAGAATACTTGAATTAATAATATGAGAATTGAAACTGAAAATATATATGTCGAGGGGAAGTCATACTATTGTATCCATGTGCCGCACCTACCGTACTTTGTGCCGCATATGCTCATATGTGCGTAGGCCCAGGGGTCCACACTTGGATGACCGACTTCCATAAGTGTGACAACCCCTAGTTTCCTAGAGGGAAGTCGTAGACCTAGAAACTCGAGGGAGTCCGGATCATAGAACATCAGAACTACCGAACAGAGGGCCAAGACAACGCCAATATATAAGGACACCCGACACCACGAGAAAGGATCAAAGATCTAGCAAAGACATATATTTGCCTCTTTAGCCAGATTGAGCTAGAGATCTCGTCTAGATCGCCCATCTAGAACTCGAGATAACTTCTCGGCTCGCTGAGACCCCATTGTAATCTCTATTTGTAATTTGTCTCGATATAATCCCATATAAGCAGGAGCAAGGTTAGTACCCGCATCGAGGGGCCCGAACCTATGTAAAACTTATGTCTTGTGTTCAAATGACGACTAAGGTGACATCCTAGTACCAAACAAATCATGTGTAACTATCATACTAATGAAAGGTAATCAACGAAATACCCACGACAATATATGATTTATTGTATATGTGTAAAATATTTATTGAATACATGTAGCATAACAGAATGAAAATAGCTAAACCTTTCCGATGCATGATTACAAATTGAGGGGGGCATTTTTTCCATGCATGTTTTTTTAGTCCCATGCATGGTTGTGCGTTGAGGTGGCATGTTTGAACGTTGAGAGAAATGGGTTAATGGTGATCGCATATTTAGTTATACCAAACAGTATCCCACAATTGCTACGGGTGTGTTTGGTAGCACTCCCAATCTAGCATGGTTGTTCTCCTCTGATACATGCTAATTGTAGACATGCTGAGTACATCCATTTACTGTTGTTTGGTAGCGGTGTATGTGCTGAGACATGCTAAGTTGAGACTCTGTTTGGCAGCTTGCATCTGTGTAGACATGTCGGTCGGTACTGTAGCAAATAAGTGAAGAAAACATTTTAAAAATGTGAATAATTTTTTGAAACATGGGGAAAATAATATTTTTGAAAATTTAAACATTTTCAGAATTTTTATGTTTTTTATAATTTGAACAAAATTTGAAAGTTCGATATCTTTTAAAAAATCTGTTTTTTTTTTGAAAAGCCAAAATTTTAAAAAATTTGAAAGCCAAATTTTAAAATTCAAAAAAACCAAAAAAATCTAATTTAAACATTTTTGGAAATTCTGAAATTTTTATGAACATTTGAACAGATTTTGAATGACATTTTTTGAAAATTTTAACAATTTTTGAAAATCTGGCCTTTTTTGAACAATTTTTTGGTATTCTGAATATTTTCTAAAAAATAATTATTTCTTAGAAATTTCTCGCTCGCTTCACTCATGCATGCTAACCAGCGAACGATTGTTGGGGTGTTCTCTCTTCGTGCTAAGAAGGTATTTGGGCCGAGCTCCTGCATGTTGAACAGGCCCGTGCAAGCTACCAAACACCCAAAAGTGGGTTTAGGAGGAAACTTTTGAGCTCATGCACCCTCCATGCACTCTACAAGATTTGGTTTGAATGTATTGCAATAATATTTGGTTGTATAGAACACAATTAGATTGATAATATAATAATTGAAACTAAACATACATATGATTTATTATACCAGATTATTGTATGGTTACAAAATATTTATTGAATATAAGTAGCATAACAAAATGTAATTGAAAATCTTTTCCAATGCATGGTTGTAAGTTAAGGTGGGTATTTTCCCATGTATGTTTGCATGTTGAGCTGTGCATTTTACCATACAAGTTGCATTTTGAGGTGTCATATTTGCATGCTAAGAGAAATAGGCTAACGAAAATCACCTGTTTAGTTATGCAGGGTGAAGTTTCAAAAAAAAGTTATGTTGGGTAAGGTACCACCCAATAATCAGAACATGCAATGGTTTGTAACTCTCGTGACTCGTGGCCTCGGTATGGTGGACGTCGCCAAGGTTTAGGGTGGGCACAATTCATAAGCGACCACCATTTTGCAGAGAAATAAAGCGAAGTCGTGTCTACTTTGTTGAATTCCTCAATGTGAAAAGACATATATTCATAAATAAGACACCTGATTGCACAAAATAGGAGTTGATAATAGAAGGGGCTACATGAAGCTTATTCAATTCAAAGGTGTTTAGGCATCAGAAATCCACAATGCAACGGCATCTGTATGGTTTGTCACTAAGCGAAGACTGGTCTGAACAGCCCTGAGCCATCCTGCACTCTCGTCTATATACCCTGCAGTGTGATATCCTCAGCTTCTTGCGTGATAGATGCACTTGTAAACGTTGGATTTCACTGAGCAAGGGCACCAGAACAAAATACAGGAGTTACGGGGAACAAAAGGACACATACGATGGATACTTCTTGATTAAAGTTCGTCTTGAATGGACCCCGATGGAGTGGATGATGTTACCTCCTCTTCTACAGCATCCGTCTGGGTTACTTCTACTGCAGCAGTTTTGGCCCCTCTGTTCTTCTTGATAAAACTGATGATCTCCTCGGCCGTCCTCTGCCCGTCATACATCAAGAGATCCCCTCCACTAGAAGAATAGAAGTACAGCGCTGGGTATCCCTCGACCGCGAAGTCTGTCGGGATATCGTTCGCAGTACCATCCTGCAAAACCAGAGGTCTCAGACTTTATAATGCCTAGGACGATGCTCTACCACAGAAGTGTGACCTGAATCAGTGGCAATATGAATAATCAACTGAAAAGTGGACTACCATCTTCGCTATGACTACATCATCATCGTCTTGCAACGAGACAGCAACTTCCTCCAGAATCGGGGCCAACTTCCGGCAATGACCGCACCAAGGTGCATAGAACTCGAGTAGAACTACAAGAAGTGCCATGCAGTGAATTGGTTAGACAAGCTTCACCACAGGATAAATAACTAAAAGCTGAATGCAACCACTGGTATAATTCAGCTCAGCCAGTGAGTTGAAGTGACATGAACGAACCATTTTTGCCAGAGTTAAAAACAATTTTCATCAATATTGTCAGCCACGACAACTTTAACAGGTTGATCATTCACCTTAGGAATTGGCTCTGACTTAACATAAGGTGTTAAGTTGCCATACTGTATGAAAAAGTAGATGATTAGGAAATGATTTGACAAAAGAGTACTATGAAACAGCATAGTAGACTAGGCCTCAACTATATACTGCTTCATCCAGGGTATGAGCTGGTCAGGCTCCATGGTTGGATTGAGATATTTTCCAGTAGATGCTAGCACGAGGAGGAGGGGAACATCACTTTCTTTGAGCCCGAAATACTGAAAAGTTTCGCATGGATGCTAATCAGTGGATTAGTTCTAGGAATTCTTAACAAAAATGACGAGAAGCTAGTAAGAGTAACGACCTCGAAGGCGCGGTCTGCGGTGAAACATCACCAATTAGAAAACTGATGTTATTACCGATGAGCTGCCTGGCTGCTTCATGCATCTGGCTCTTGAAGGTCTCAACTCTGTCGTCACTGAAGCGCAAGAAAAGCATTGCCTGTCTAATCATGTATCAAAGTTATTTCATGTTTCATGATACAAGTGAAAAGGGTCAATGCGCTCATGCAATCTCAAATGTTGGTCCTATGTTGATATCATGATGCAGGTAAAGAATTGAGCTAAAGTTACTAAATGTTCAACTCTTCCATCCCATACAAGTGAAGCCGAGACTGCAAGTACTGAAGGAACAAACAAGATCTGAGGGCAATTGCTGTTTACTCACTTTGGCACTAGGCGTGCTGTAGTATCTTTCAATAAACTTATGGTTGGTCGGGTCTGCGTCGAAGGTAACTACAGTAGGGAAACCAGACACCTCAATAAACTTCTTGATTGCATCGTCATCAAAATCCTGACAATTATAGATGACTGGTGTTTTAGTGTACAAGCAAAAGCACACCCACGAGAACGAAGTGACCAGCAATGAAAAGGTGCACATTAAGAAAGATATTTACTTGTGAATCGACAAACAGCTCATCGAATGGCTTAAAGAGTCGAAGAAGGGGGCCCTTGACGGTCAGATCACCACGTGGCAGAATGCTCGCATCCGATGTGTGAAAGAAATCATAGTCTGTTCGCATCTTGTTTGCCACGGCCATAAAATTCTCATACTCAATACCAGCAAACTCAGGGAATACACCCACCTGCAAGACAATTTTCAGACAAGAACAACACACCCATTGATCTCCATTCTTCAAGAGATTAAGGAAAGAGAGGTGAACCGCACAAATGCGGTAGGATGTGGGAACTTACAAGGACCACCCCTTTGTCGCCGATGGAGCGTGAGGCATCCACTGCAGACCTGATCTCGAGAGATGCCGGGCCGACCTGCCTCGTGAGGTACTCCACGATACCCTCCACGTCCCTCGGGCCACCATAGGCGCTCACGTCGCTCCCTCCTTTTCTGATGATCTTGATGGCCGGATACCCATGTACCTTGTACTTGTCCTTGAGCTCCTTGTTGCTCTCGTCGTACGCATCCACCTTCGCGAGCACCACTGGAGGGTCGCGCTTCCTCAGCATGGAGGCTGCTTTCTCGTACTGCATGCATCATATCACACGTACACACATAAATGGCATGGACAAATTAAAACGTACGTCTCAGTGTCTCAGTGTTGCATCTTTCATGGTAAGACAGACTACTTGTTAAGGAAATGACTAACCTCTGGAGCGAGCTCCTTGCAGTGGCCACACCTGCGATGGTCATCAGTTAGACACTGTTTTGGGATTTGGGGAGAGTCAGAACATAGCTGCTTAAGGAGTAACATACCATGGCGCGTAGAACTCGACGACTATGAACTCGTGCTTGGCCACCACCTCCGAGAAGTTGCCTGCGTCAAGTGTCAGGACCGCCTCTCCAAGCACAGCTGTGCCATCCACCTCGGCCGCGATGGGGCCGGAGGAGAGCAGAAGGACCACGACGAGGGTGGCAAAAGGGAGTGCCAGGGGAACGTCCATTGCTTAAGCTGTAACTAAGTCACCTCTCAGGATTTCCGTCAGAGGATGACATGCCTACCAGGTTAATATAGGTGAAGATGAGAAGGGTGTTCCTCTTCCAAAAAGAAAAGATGAGAAGGGGTGTTGCACTTGCAGGGATCTCGAGGAAGTCAATGGGGGCTTGTTTGCTAGCTTCTCTTCGACTCATGCTCCTGAACTTTGTTTACAAATGACAATAATGAGTCTCTTTACTTCCAATTTCTACTTTCAGTTAGTAAACAACTACATAGCTGATAGCAGATGGCTAGTTTTTCACAGTTATTTTATAATTGGAAGTCAGCCGTAAAATCTGCACACTGCATGCATACTTGTGTCTGCAAGTAATATTTCACCTTTATACACCGAGTCCAAAATAAGTAATCCATCATGGCATAGCCACAGTCAAGTTGTCAGCACGCAGCACTTTGTAAGAGTTTCAGTCTTCAGATCCACAACTCAGATCAGAAAAGTCCTTCATGCTTTCACCCCAAGCAAAACTGCTGCACCAGCAACAGAATGGATCACTTAGAATCATTTTGCCATTTTTCTTTTCATCACCGGGTTCTGCATCATCCATGATCTTCCAACCTGCAAAGTGTATCAAGCCTTCTAGTTCTAGCCACAGGCTTCAGAGCTGTAATTCATCAGGCCATCAGCATTTTCAGCATCTACACTCACCCTACTCATCTGCATCTGAATGATTCTCAAGGTATCGTGTATCTCATTCCTGCAGGGATGTCCGTTATCTCGTGCGAGAAACACACTCACTTGCCTGCCTATCTCAATCCAACTACGGCCAGGCTGCTTAATGACACCTCTGCTCTTCATGGATCTCCTCACTCTATATACATCTGCCCATTTCCCCAACTCAGCGTACATATTCGAGAGAAGAACGTAGGGTCCAGAGTTCTCAGGATCAAGCTCAAACAACTTCCCAGCTGCCAGTTCTCCCATCTCAATATTCTTATGTAGCCTGCAAGAACCTAGCAGAGAAGCCCAGAGCACGCTGTCAGGTTCCATTGGCATCTCCTTTATGAGCTCCTCAACTTCTTTTAGATGACCGGCACGACCAAGCAAATCAATCATACATGTGTAGTGATCTTGGGATGGAGTTATCCCATGATCCCCAGTCATGGACCGAAAGTATCTCCGGCCCTCCTCCACTAATCCAGAATGGCCACAGGCAGACAGAACACCAATCATGGTGACAGAATCTGGGCTCTCTTTACTGCATAACATTCTCTCAAAAAGATGCAGTGCTTCTTTTGCACGGCCGTTCTGTGCATGACCGACAATCATGGCATTCCACGACACAGTATCTCTGGCTGCCATCCTCTCAAACACCTTCACACCATCATCAATTGATCCTGTCTTCAGGTACATGTCTACAAGGGAATTCCCAACAAACACATCAGACTCTGGTCCAAAGTCAAAGCGAAAACCTTCCTTCAGGACATGCACATGAGCTTGCTGACCAAGCTGAAGATCAGCAACATTGCCACATGCATTGAGAACATTTCCGTATGTGTAATGTGTTGGCCAAACTGACTCTCTTTTCAGCCTGACAAAGAGCCTAAGTGCCTCCTCCTCCTCACCGTTCTGTGCATATGCTGCAATGAGCACATTCCAAGCAATGACATTCTTCTCGACCATCTGTGAGAACACCACCTGAGCATCTTCCACATTAGCAGACCTTGCGTACCCGGTGATGAGTGATGTTTCAGAGACAACACTCCTGGAAGCCATGCGGTCAAACACACACCTCGCCTCCCATGTCCTCCCACATTTGGCGTACATGTCCACCAGAGCGTTGCTCAGCACCATGTCCTCCCTAAACCTATCGGATTTCACCACGCACGCATGAACCTGCCGTCCTTCTCTATCCGCAGCAAGGCCCGCACACGCACTCATGACACTTGCAAGTGTCACCTCATCGGGCACAAGACCGGCATTCATCATCCTGACAAACAGTACCAGCGCCTCACCCACAGGGCCGTTCTGCTCATAGCAAGTGATCAAGCTGTTCCAGGAAACGACATTCCGCTCCGGCATTGCCTCGAACACCCTCCGTGCCTCCTCCGGCCCCTCGCACTTGGCATACATGTCCAAGAGCGCACTGCCAATATACACGTCCTTGGCATGCGGCGACTTGGAAACAAGGGCATGCACCTGCACCCCGGCCCTCAGGTCCTTCTCCACGGCACAGGCGCTCAGGGCGCTGGCAAAGGAGTAGGCATTGAGCACGAAGTCGTCGGCGTGCATGGCGGCGAAGAACAGGAGGGCGTCGGCGCCACGGCTGTGCTGCGCGAGCGCGGCGATGACCGCGTTGTAGGAGCACTGGTCCGGGTCGGGGATGGCGCCGAAGAGAGCACGGACGTCGGCGGGGTTGCCAAGGCGGGCGTGCGCGGAGAGGAGGGCGTTGTAGGAGAAGGTGTTGGGGCGGGGAATCTCGTCGAACACCCTGCGCGCGTCGGGGAGGCGGCCGAGTCGCGCGTAGGCGGAGACGAGGGTGTTGAGGAGGAAAGTCTCGTCCGCGTAGGGCGACTTGAGGGCGCGCGCGTGCGCTGCGCGGGCGGCGGGCAGGCTTGGCGCGGACCGGAGGAGGTCGGCGAGCGGCGCGGATGCTCGGAGGTGGGAGACGAAGTGGTGGTGGTGGTGTCGCGCCATGCCAACAGGTGCCTCCGTTTGAAAATTCGATGGTGGCAGAAGGCGGCGGTGTCCTCGTCGTTGCCAGCAGAACGAACTGACAAACAAGGGCGATACTGAATACGCGCCAGAACACCAGGATTGTTCGGAGAGGCAAATACTCTTTTTTTTCTTCTGAGACTAGGCAAATACTCTTCCTGATTGCCATGTTTTGAAGTGGATTTTAATATATATTTTTGTTCAGGACCTCTACCAACGGTTAGGCACGAAGAAAGGTGAAAGGGACATCTATAAGATGGCTAAGATCCGGGAGAGGAAGACGAGGGATATTGGCCAAGTCAAATGCATCAAGGACGGAGCAGGCCAACTCTTGGTGAAGGACGAAGAGATTAAGCATAGATGGCGGGAGTACTTCGACAAGCTGTTCAATGGGGAGAATGAGAGTTCTACCATTGAACTGAATGACTCCTTTGATGAGACCAGCATGCGTTTTGTGCGGCGCATCCAGGAGTCTGAGGTGAAGGAGGCTTTAAAAAGGATGAAAGGAGGCGATGGGCCCTGATTGTATTCCCATTGAGATGTGGAAAGGTCTCGGGGACATAGCGATAGTATGGCTAACCAAGCTTTTCAACCTCATTTTTCGGGCAAACAAGATGCCAGAAGAATGGAGACGGAGTATATTAGTACCGATCTTCAAAAACAAGGGGGATGTTCAGAGTTGTACTAATTACCGTGGAATTAAGCTGATGAGCCATACAATGAAGCTATGGGAGAGAGGCATTGAGCACCGCTTAAGAAGAATGACAAACGTGACCAAAAATCAGTTTGGTTTCATGCCTGGGAGGTCGACCATGGAAGCCATTTTCTTGGTACGACAACTTATGGAGAGATATAGGGAGCATAAGAAGGACTTGCATATGGTGTTCATTGACTTGGAGAAGGCCTATGATAAGATACCGCGGAATGTCATGTGGTGGGCCTTGGAGAAACACAAAGTCCCAGCAAAGTACATTACCCTCATCAAGGACATGTACAATAATGTTGTGACAAGTGTTCGAACAAGTGATGTCGACACCGATGACTTCCCGATTAAGATAGGACTGCATCAGGGGTCAGCTTTGAGCCCTTATCTTTTTGCATTGGTGATGGATGAGGTCACAAGGGGTATACAAGGAGATATCCCATGGTGTATGCTCTTTGCGGATGATGTGGTGCTAGTTGACGATAGTCGGACGGGGGTAAATAGGAAGTTAGAGTTATGGAGACAAACCTTGGAATCGAAAGGGTTTAGGCTTAGTAGAACTAAAACTGAGTACATGATGTGCGGTTTCGGTACTACTAGCTTTGAGGAGGAGGAGGTTAGCCTTGATGGCCAGGTGGTACCTCGGAAGGACACCTTTCGGTATTTGGGGTCAATGTTGCAGGAGGATGGGGGTATTGATGAAGATGTGAACCATCGAATCAAAGCCGGATGGATGAAGTGGCGCCAAGCTTCTGGCATTCTCTGTGACAAGAGAGTGCCACAAAAGCTAAAAGGCAAGTTCTACAGGACGGCGGTTCGACCCGCAATGTTGTATGGCGCGGAGTGTTGGCCGACTAAAAGGCGACATGTTCAACAGTTAGGTGTGGCGGAGATGCGTATGTTGAGATGGATGTGTGGTCACACGAGGAAGGATCGAGTCCGGAATGATGATATACGAGATAGAGTTGGGGTAGCACCAATTGAGGAGAAGCTTGTCCAACATCGTTTGAGATGGTTTGGGCATATTCAGCGCAGGCCTCCAGAAGCTCCAGTGCATAGCGGACGGCTAAAGCGTGCGGAGAATGTCAAGAGAGGGCGGGGTCGACCGATTTTGACATGGGAGGAGTCCGTTAAGAGAGACCTGAAGGATTGGAGTATCGACAAAGAGCTAGCTATGAACAGGGGTGCGTGGAAGCTTGCTATCCATGTGCCAGAGCCATGAGTTGGTTGCGAGATCTTATGGGTTTCACCTCTAGCCTACCCCAACTTGTTTGGGACTAAAGGCTTTGTTGTTGTTGTTGTTGTTGTTGTTCACTTCCTGCAAAAGAATACACAAAATTCCTGCCAAATGTTATTGTCTCTCTCTTCTTCTTTTTTTGATAACTAAATCTTCCTCTTTGTTCACATGTGACAACACCTACATCTTTTAGTATCAGAGGAAGGAAAGCATTTGGAGCAACACCTAACCACTCATTACAAAAGCTAATTCTAGCAGCACGCGCTAATTCATGTGCAACACCATTTGCCTCTCTAGGACAGTATTGAAACCGGATAGAACTGAACTCGCATGCCAAGCGATAACAATCATCAATGATGGCCGCTGCGTTACCTGCATACTGGGCCCTTTGTTCATGATCTCCATAAGTTCCTGGTTATCCGAGTTCACGATAATCCTATTGCATCCATACTGGCCCCCTTCGTTCTTGTCTCTTAACATGAAGCAGTGTTAGTTTTTGTTTTGAGGTCATTGTTACGAATATACTTAGACAAGAAAATAATTGTGTTAAATTGGCAATTTACAACTTCCTTTTACAAATAGGTACTCCCTCTGTTTCGAGTTATAAGATGTTCTAACTCTTTTTTTTTGTAGACACGTTTTAGTACGTTTGTTCACTCATTTCAGTCCATATGTAGTCCATACTGAAATATCCAAAACGTTTTATAATTCAGAACAAAGGTGATACTTTACAACTTCCTCGGCATCTTCCTAGCCGATGAGGCCTGCTATATGCTCCCCTAGTCTCGGCACCTGACCACTCAACATAGACAGACTAGAAGACTCAATGTGACTTCCTTGTGAGTGCCAGAATAAATCATGCAAAGTTGGGCTCCAATTCATCCTCGGTCAGCTGAGATGAAAGCTTGAGGTCTTGTTATCATCCTTATAATTACAAACTCCATGTTCGGCCCAGAAACTCTGTCTTCAGCTCGACCAACTGTACTAGGGTAGTCCTGTCAAGTGTCAATACTGATGCTATAGGATCACAAGCACCTGAAAATCCTTTTCAAGTCTGCTCCTTGATTTGGTAATTAAGAATTTCAGCTCAGCCACCTGCGAGTCGATGTCATGGCACTCACAGCGGCGACATCAATTCTTCGTCCGGGTTACCAAATGACATGGGCTCTGCACTGCCACCATCACTGCACATGTAGTCCGCAGTGGCCTCATATCGAACCGGTGTCTGGGGATTGCTATCATTGATGCACTTGGCAGCCCGCTCCCCTAATTTCCTATTTCCATATTCCCTGCAGCAGTCGAAGATCCTTAACCACATTGTGGTTGGTGGCTCAAACGGCATGTGATCCACAAAATCCTCGAGCTCAACCATGTGTCCATGTTTGCCCAGCAGCTCAATCATGCACTCATAGTGCTCCATGCGAGGAATGATGGATTCCTCAGTCATCAAAGTGAAATAACTCTTTCCCAACCCAACATGCCCCTCGCTGATACATGAAACTAGTGCACCGAGGAAAGTGACAGAGTCGGCCTTAATCCCTTGCGCCTGCATTTCATCAAACAATTCAAGCCCATACTCACCTTTGCCACTGTAAGCACAGCCAAGGATCATCGAATTCCACAGGATGACATCACGAGATGGCTGTGCCTCGAATATCCTGATGCCATAATCAAATAGCCTACACTTGCAGTACATGTCAATCAGTGCACTTTGCAGTATATCGTCAATCTCATAGCCATTTCTGATCATGTACGCATGAATCTCCATGCCGTGCTTAAGCAGAAAAATGTTGGCACAGGCTGCCAGTGCCGAACTGAACGTGGACTGGTTAGGAGTTACTTCAGATTGCATTTCACTCAGTGCATGCAGAGCTGCTTCACTCATGGAGTGGCGCTCATAGCCTGAGATAAGTGAATTCCAGGAGTATCTGTCTCTCTCTCCCATCTCGAATTGAAGAAGCAGTTCTGCACTCCTCAGGCATCCGCATTTGGAATACATCCTCACAAGAGTGTTCTTTAGGAAAGGGTAACTCAATAAACCACACTTGAAAGCGAATGCATGGACCTCCTCACCTTTCCCAATATCAAGCATCCCAGTACAAGCATTGAGCACGGAACCAAGTGTAACATCATCAAGCTCCTTTGTCTCCTTCCTCATCTGCCGGAACAAATGCAAAGCACCAGTCAGATCCGAGGACCTGATATAACCAGTCAACATAGCATTCCAGGACACTAAGTTGCGCTCTTGCATCCCGTCGAACACTCGCTTTGCATCACCAATCCTCCCACAAGAAGCCAGTCCTGACAAAATTGAGGTCGACATTATTACGCCCTTCACTGGTGCCACGTTGAAGAGCCTTTGGGCTGCATCAATGGCACCACACTTGGCATACATATCCACGACTGAGCTCCGCACATGCTCGTGGTGCTCGTACCCATGTCGGAGCACAAAAGTATGCATGCACCGTCCTTCTTCAAGCGCATTGTTGTCCCGGCAAGCAAGAAGTGCATGTGAGACGGTATAAACAAGCGGCCTAACTCCTGCCCAGACCATCCGAAAGAACATTTCAGCTGCCATATCCCCCATCCCAGCAAGAAGATACCGGCGGATGATGACATTCCACGAAATGGCATTAGGTTCAGAGATACCATCAAATGCCTGCCTCGCATCTGCAAGTAAGTGACACTTCCCATACACATCAACCAGCGCCGTGCCAAGAATCACATTGGACTGAAAGTCCCGCTTGGAGATATGGCCGTGGAGCTGCTGGGCACCACACGGGTTGAGGCACTCTGAGCAGCAGGCGAGCACGGATGCCATTGTGACATCGTTGGGGCGAACGCCACGGGAGTACATATCGGCAAAGAGGGAAAGCGCCTCGGTAGGTTTCCCGGAGCGGGAGGAAGCGTAGATGATGGCATTCCAAGAACCGCCGTCACGGCGCGGCATTAAGTCAAACAACTCCCGCGCGTCCGCGAGGCCGCCGCAGGCAGCAAGAGACTCGATGGCGCGGTTGAATAGGAAGGTGGGGACTGATGAGCGGTTGAATTGGAAGGCGGAGGAGGCGAAGTGGGTCGTGATGCGGCGGGCGGCAGAGAGGGAGCCGTGGTCGGTGGCCAGACGGAGGAGGGAGGCGTAGAGCGAGGAGGGTATCGGGGAGGAGGAACAGGAAGGGGTGAGAGTGTCTATGGCGGCGAAGAGTCGTCCGGCGGCTACGTGGGCAGAGATTGCGGACACAGTTGCGCCGGAAGTAGAGGCGCCGGCGGCGGCCGCGGCCATGGTGGTGGTCTGGCGGGAGGAGAATGAGAGAGGGACAGGGTGTTGTGTTTTTTTTTTCCTTTTCATTTTGGGAGACCTATATATTATGAGACGCGTCTCGTGGGCAACCGGCTGCGCACTAGTGCGATCAAGCGGCCGACCTAAAAAGATAAGCTCTGTTTCCTCGTGGTACAGAAAAGAAAGAGACAGACAGCCACCAAACCGAATCGACCGAACGATTAATCCCGAACAGAAAAGCGCGCTCCCCATATGGCCAGCTGTACCTGCCCAGCGTCCCAGCCCCTCCCACGCCCGCTCGCCCCCACGCCCGCACGCTGCCTTCTTCTTTTCCACGAAAGAAGAGGATCCAAGGCACTTTCTTTCTCCTTTTGTACAATCGTCATGGCAGCCCCAAAGTAGAAGAAACTGTTTCAAAAAATTGATCTAAAGGTAGGGTCATCAGAGCCATACCAGACAGCAATACTGGACAAGTAATTCCCCTCTGCCTTTCTTCAGTTTCTCCCCTTCTTATTCTGCATCTGTAAACCGTCTTCTCCATTGATCCATCAACAAATCCATGAAAAAGCTGCTTCAAGAAAGGAGTGGATCTACCACATCACCTTATTGTCAACATCACACCACCCTCCATCCTCCACGAGTGTCATGTCTGCAAATTGAAAACCAACCATGAACAAAAGATTACTATTTTCTGGTTCATGCAACTAAACACAAGTCATTAAGTTTAGTTGCACAGTTTTCTATTTGCACAATAAACATGGTTTGAGATCAACTTTAACAAAACTGAACATGTATTCTAACATGCATGCTAGCCAAGTTCCCCCTGGATGTATTCAGCAAGTCGACTAAGGCATATTTTCTGGCCAACTAAAACATGATTCTAACCAACTAAACATGCAATGTAGCCAAAACTAAACATGTATTGTACTAAGTTGTAGTTATTGTTTGCAAATGAACACATTGACTGTCCAAAAAAATATATGCAACTAAAAATGCATATATATGCAACTGAAATACATCCCAGCCAACTGAACTTGTATTCTGACAACTCAACATGCATGCTAGGCAAACTAAAACATGCATTGTACCCCACATGAACTGGATGTTTTTTGAGTGGACACTTTAAAAAATCTGAAGTATATGTGCAATAAAAATATGTATCCTGGCCAACTGAACATGCATGCTGGCCAACTGAATATGCATCCTGACCAACTGAAACATCTATTATAGCCAACTGAACACATTGACTGTCTAACTGAACATGCATGCTGGCTAAATGAAATATGCATCCTGGCCAACTGAAAACATCTATTCTAGCCAAAACCAAAAATTTGTAGTACGACAGCAAAAACACAAGAACTTGTGTCCATGGCTAATGAAACCACAAACCATATTAAAATAGTCACACATATATTTTTGTCCCACACATATATTCTGATACCACACCTATTGCAAAGCTATAGTGTAAAAATATGTTCAATATACTATAAGTAAAAACAGAAACGACGATGAAAAACATATATCTATATTCTGTCATCCAATTTTTCTTTCTTGTTTCACCTGGATTTTCCATCTCAATTGTAGCATCAAATTATGTCCAAATTATGTGCAGAAAAATCTGAATCAGCTCCTTGCCAACAGAAAACCTACAGATCATTGCAACAAGCAGAGAAAAAAGTCAGAAAAACTCTGTAGTAAAAAAACTCATGTTCTTGCCACCTATTTACTGCAAACTGTGCAACTAATATAACAACTCTGTGCAAACAAAAAATGCATACCCGTTATAAAAAAGATTTTGCTATAGACATGTGGCTTTTGCAACTAAAATTGTCCTAATGGTGTGCAACTGCCTATTTACTAAGTTTTTAGGTTGTTTGAAACACTCTTTCATGATTAAAACTGATGACATCACTTCCTTCTTTTTATATGTGCAAGGGGTGTGAGGCAACAGCAAAAAAAGAAAAAAGAAATGCTTGATCTCAATGAGTTGCCTACTGATCTCAATGAGCTCCCTCATGATATGGATCAGCAGCAACCCAGCATACCACAAGGAAATTGGACAGAAAAGGGGCGCTCTGTTTACTACACACAGACAACTCGTGGGCCTAACCCTATGGGGCATGACAATGTGGTAGGGTATTCATCAACCCGCGATGCCCCTGTAGCGGTGTCTTTGCAGTCAGAGAGGCATACTCTTGATGACACGGGCACCGCGGCAAATGTTTCTGGTCCAACCAGGACTGAGCTCGGAGTTGGTGCTGTTGACGGTGCTATGCAAGGAGAAGAAGGAGAAGATGAGGCTCGTTCTCAGCCCATGGAACCCTATGTTGGCATGAGGTTTGACAGCCTTCAAATTGCTAAGGATCACTACAATAACTACACCCTACGGATGGGTTTGTCTGTCAAGATGAACACCTCTAGGCGGACAGCTCGCACCAATGTATTGGTAAAACAACAGTTTTGTTGCAACAAGTACAAGAAGTCGAAAGCTGATGATGGAGGAGCTGAGGCTCCTCCTGTCCTGGACCCTATACCAGATCCAAAACCTGTTGACACTGATGAGAAAATGGAAGATGAACCTCCAATCTTTGTTGAAGAGGAGGCTGGTCCTAGTAAGAAAAAGAAGAAACGAAAACGCGAGACAATAAAGCAGACTCAATGCAAGGCAAAAATGTTGGTGAAGCTGCTAGATGGGCGATAGGAGGTGACACACTTTGTTCGTGACCACAATCATCCACTGGTGAACAAACCTTCGTTGTCCAAATACTCGAGAACCCACCAAGGCATCTCTCCTGATGAAAAGGAGTTTTTGCGCATCTTGTATAACTTAATAACTGCAACTTGACTACATGTGTGTTTCTTTATCCCTTACAGAATTAAATTTCCCTCTAGGCAGTCCAGTGTGCAACTGTTATGGTATTGGTGTGCAATTATAATTTCTTAAGTGTGCAACTAGTGTGCAAGTTCCCATACTATTTCTATATCACTTTGGTGCTTGTTGTGCAACTAGATTACATTCATTGTGCAACTACACAATGTCCTATGTGAAAAAGTGTAAGTATTTTTAAAGGTGCAGCTAGGTGTCCATTTCCTGCAATTATCTTCTGTGCCAACACATGCCCTAATACTGTGCAGTTGGATGTGTGCATTCGTGCGACTAAAAAAGATATATTGTTTCTTTTTGTATTATGCAGGACGTATGATGCATATAATGGCAGAGTTCTATGGATCTGAGATGATGGTGCCGCTCGGACCAAAGGCAATAACAAACCTGTGTACAAGTTTCCATAGAGATGACACAAAGGAGGGTGACATGATTGAGACAATTGCGCACTTCAAGGATATACAGAAAACCGATCCAGACTTCTTCTATAAGGTAAAATATGATGAAGAGGACAGAGTTGTCAACATATTTTGGGTGGATGGCTTAACTCGAAAAGCTTATGCGGAGGCTTACCACGATTGCATATCGTTTGACACCACCTACATGACCAACATGTACAATATGTCATTCGCGCCCTTCATCAGAATAAACCGACATGGCCAATCTTTCATGATGGGTTGCGCGTTTGTGAGGCAGGAGTTGACATCGAGCTTTGTTTGGGTCTTCCGAACATTCCTAGAGGCTATGGATGGCAAACCTCCTGACAACTTCATCACCGATCAGGATAGGGCGATGAAGCAGTCAATAGAGAGCATCTTCCCAACCATAGTGCATCGCTGTTGTCGATGGCACATCATGAAAAAGGCTCAGGAAAAATTTGGTTGGCTGTTGTGCCAGAATCCAGGGCTCTCTAATGATTTCAACTACTGTGTTGACTTCAGCTTCACTCCAGATGAGTTTGAGCAGAATTGGGCTGGGTTAATGATGAAGTACGAGGCTATGACACACACACACAAACACACACACACACACACACACACTTTGAGAAGTTGTATGAATACAGGTCAACTTGGGTTTCGTGCTACTTCAAACACTGGTTCTTCCCCTTCCTGCAGTCTACACAACGAAGTGAGGGGTTCAAGACCGTTCTAAAAAGATATGTGAACCCACACAACTCAATGCTGAACTTCGTTAAGCAATATGAAAAAAATTCAAAACCACATCCTTGCCAAGGAAGGCTGCAATGATTACAGGACAGAACACCTTGAGATTGAGCTATGTTCCAACTTCCCAATAGAGAGGCAAGCTTATGAAACCTACACTAGGGACCTTTACCGCAAGTTTCGAGAAGAGTTTGTGCTGATTGGACGTTATAATGCGTTCCAAGTTGGTGCTGATATTTTTGAGCTCAGACTGAACCAGGAATTGTTGCCAAATATTGTTCTTGAAACTACTTGGTGAAGGCAAGGGTGGGGGAGGGTTCCTATTTGTGTGAGTGCTGCAAAATGAACAAGGAAGACATTCTCTGTTCCCACATCCTCAAGGTGTTCACCCATCTTGGAGTTGATGTCATACCGGAAAGGTACATGCTAAGACGGTGGACACCTACTGCCGTCCCTAGTGCGCCAGGGACCGGGTATGAGCAACCGGATGAAATGCCTCCTCAATCAAAGAAGCAGATAAGGGAGAGAAACATGATATACGATTTTCAGAAACTAGCCAAGTTTGCGAGTGGCTCTGATGCATCACATGCCATTGTATACAGGCATATGTGCGGAGCACATACCGAGATCGACCATCTGAACAAGTTCAAGAAAAAGAAAAAATCGGCTGCTGCTACGGGGCCATCAGATGATGGAAACCCTTGAGGACCTCCTCCATCTCCTCACCCTACACGGCATGCTCCGCCACCTCCTCCCCCGCCTGGCCCAACAAGTAGTGCCCCGCGTGCTCTTCCCAATGGCCCTACAGACAGTACTCAGGGGCTCATCATCCAGGTAATTACCTGCCCCAACTTTCCATCCAACTAGGTGTGTAACTTCAGTTGCACACATCATGGTGCCCAGTTGCACAGAACATGCTATCAATTTGCGCGCACTATGTTAGTTCGAGCATCAAGAGAAATAACTAACTTGTTTTTCGTCTTCTGGCTATAGGTGATTACCATCCAAGTCCCATGACAGGC